AAAATCATATCTTGGGGTATGGGATTGAATATTTATTGTTCATGGTGTCTAAGTTAGTTTGGGGCGGAAGTGGGTGGAGTGGAAGTGGCACGCTTATTTTGGCGAGCGGTACGGGGATAAAGTCGGGGTATCGGCTGGTCCCGGGGCCATAAGGGTTCCATCCCCCCGCAGTTCGGTTAGTTGGTGGTATTAGGCTCTTGTCTTGGAGGGAAAAACATGAGTTGTTAAATCGGTGGCACCGCAGGGATTGTATAAGGAAGTTCATTTCAAAGGCGCTACGAAATGTGCAATGGAGTGTGAGTGCCGCCACCAAGGGATTGATCAACGGAATGCTCTATTCCTTTTATCGGTAGTTGAGTGGCCAATGAAACCCGTAATTGCAGCAGCAACAAGCCGAGCGAGCCGAATCTGAATAATATCTTATTCTCTGATTGGGCTCGCGATCGTTAGAGACAGCGGATGCCTGATTGTTTGTAATCGTGGAGATGTGAATGTTGCATCGAGGAGTGCCACGATATCAGCACTAGCGGAGTCGGAATGGAGATGATATCCGATGTTTGCGCGTCTGGAGTGTTAGAGGCGTGTGTGTCTCGATTTTTGGAAGTATAAGGGTCATATTTACTGTTTATGGGTAGGGATGTGAGAAAGGAGCTCAGCACCTTTTCTACATTGTTACCATACGCTATCGGGGAGCCTTTTCACGGGGTTGTAATTTTGGGATATGAATATTTGATTTTTTACAATAACACGTGCGATCGGAAACCAATGAGATTTTCACAAGGAATCGTGGTATGTTCGTTGATGACGCACAATGGCAAATGATGATAGAATTTGATTTGAAAGCAACGTCGCAGGGCATGGGTTTCAACTACTTGGTCATTGGGCGGTCAAAACATGCCCCAGCCCAACTAAAGTTTATAGGAAATGTCTTTAATTTCAAAACCTACCTCTAAAATGCGCTGGAAGGGGTCGAAGTCCTCTTGGAGGGGGCGGATCACCCATAAAGAGGCGGATCGCCCAACATACGCTGTGCAGAGTCCGCGCTTGACTAGCGGTCGTTGCGGGACCGCCGCGCTGTATGAGGTCGATTCCATAAGAACGCAATTGAAGCGCTTCAATTTCGATTGCTGGCAAGTAGTTATGTATTTGCAGCATGCAGCTATTTGCAGCAGTTGCCAATGGAGGCATGTACTACGGGCAAGGTTCGGACAACTCGTCCAACACACGTCTCCCTAAACGGCAGGGCATGTCCCTGTCTAAGCCCCAGTTGGGCGTTTTCTTCACTTTTTCTCTTTACGTTCGACCACTTTTCACCTACAACTTCCATATAGGTGCTTTTGGCCCGCAAATTCGTTCCTGGACTGTTGCTTTAAGTTGGGAATAAATAGCTCGTGCTCATTTCTCAGGGAAATTATACAGTGCGTACCAAAAGTATGTGGACACCCTGGAATCGATTCTCAGGGGTCAGCTAAAGGCTTTTATGTCATGAAACCTCCACCATTCAACTCCTAGTGGTCGATAACCTACAATGATATTTTCGGCAAAAGATTTCGTTCTAACTTAGCGAACTATTTTTCACCAGTTTAGCTCCGCCCGCTACCGCGCGCATGACACGGAAGCCTTTGATAGGACTGAGAATCGGTGAAGCTTTGGGTCTCACCGCTTAACTATAGCTGCTTCCTTAAATGCATTACTGTCCGTTGCTCATCTTGGCTGTATCTCACTGTTTGATAAGCGCAGTGAAGTGCACAGCTAAAGTGATGTATGTAAACAACCACCATGCATCGAGTATCGAGGTAATTTAGCGGTCGAATAATTTTTGATGATCTCAAATTAGAATGCCCAGTATTCACTATCGTATTTATTCGAGCATCTCATTCATCCTCAAGAACTCGAGAAGGTGCAGCGGTCGAAAGGTGTTTGAGTTTACAATTATAACGCTAATGAAATGATATTGAAATGAAATGCACTATCTGCAATCTGGTTTCGAGTGATCTCTACGTTCGTACGCATATCGTAATTATCGATCTCATTTGTCGTTATCACTTTGTAAACCCACCAAATATGTTACCGCCCCACCCCCTATACCATGTCCCAAAATCAACTCCTGACGACTGCTGCGAAGCGCATTATATATTTCGTGAAATTTGTGTTTCAGCGCCTCTTATCTGCTCTTATCAGTCGTTTAGTCATTTTGTAACCCCCAAATAGTGCTACGCCACCACTATATATGATATAAATCGCTGTGGTCTACGGGACTGCTGCGACGCGTGTATGAATTTCGTGCACAGCAAACACAACCACAACGAGGCAGACAGGACGCATAGCGTTTATAGTATAGGTGGAGGGTGGAAAGTTTTTTCGTGGTGTTAGTCAATGAATGTGGACACTTTTTGAAAAACGGCAATATCTTCAAAATCTGAAATCGGTAGGCCTACCAATGTTTCTAGTAAGTTGAGCCATTCTGTTTGGCATGCTATGAATGGGGGGGTCTGGATACATGTCTTGCAGATCTGTTCCCAACTAGCAAATTTCACCGACGTGTTAGGTCACTTGTGATATTACTCTTTTGTTCAATGACGTAGAGACCGCGAACCACGATACCTCTACGTTTTCAATAAGGATGAAGTCTGAGGAATACGCTAGCCGACTTGCCAATCAAAGCCGTTGCGTTTAGCATTTTTCCAAATGGAATGGTGTCAGGGACCTCCCCTGCAAAACAACAAGTGATTTGCAACCATGACTTTTCGAAAAAGGTTGTAGCCGGGACTCAAGCATGCAATCATTGAGTAAAGCTAGTGTTACCTGACGATGTTCGTGGCAATCCAACTTGCAATGTGATCGTCCTTTTTGGGGAACAATCGGCGATACTTTGATGAGCATCTCGAATTGGTTTTCGAGCCATGTCGGGTTCGACCCAAAGTCTCATCATAAGCCTCAAGATTCATCGAATGCATAGGCTGAGTTCTCCTGCTGTCAGTGCGTAGCGATTAGGTGCTATATGAGAGAATTTCAGCAAGTCTGTTTATATAATGTTTACTGTCCCGAAAGCACTTGTTCGTGTTGTGGGGTTCAACAATCATGTTGTGATTCTTTTTTGGTGGTGATTGGATACTTGGCAAACATGAAACCGCATGCCTTACAGTTCTTATGCTTGGCAGTTAGCTATAGCCGTGGTAGGAATCAATACTTCACATGGACTGAATAGAGAGATGCGTATTGGTGCTCTCTTTTTCAGATCGGGAAGATCATTTATGCGTAAAGTTGAGTAGTACGAAAAGAATAATTTGAGAAAATTAAGGCTATTCTTCTCCTGTTTTGAACAAGTAGCGATTGAGAACAACCCTCAGTCAAGGTCGAGAGCTTAGCATCAGGATTTCGGATTTCTCTCCAAACCTACGAGGACGCATGACTGGTTGACGTGCTATTTCGCAATAGGAAGGTTCAGAAGCATGGGGATCCCATTTCTGTGCTTGGTCTTCTTCAGAAAAACGCTTGCCGTGAAGAGGAATGATGCCAGAATAAGTAACGAAAGGAGAAGTAAAAATAGGTTAGGAATTCGATGCGCAAAAAACTTCATCTTCTGCCTCAGGGTGTCCACATAATTTTGATACAAAGAAAAAACTTTCCATGAAAAATAGTTCGCTAAGTTAGAACGAAATCTTTTGCCGAGAATGTCATTGTAGGTTATCGACCACTAGGAGTTGAATGGTGAAGGTTTCATAACACAAAAAGCCTTTAGCTGACTCCTGAGAATCGATTCTAGGGTGTCCACATACTTTTGGTACGCACTGTATGTAGAGGGTGTGTGTGAATGCTCTAGGCTGTGTTGCGGTGATGATGAGTAATTTGCGACGTTGGGAATGAGCTGTATATAGAGCTGATGACTCCAAAACTTGGTCTGTAATCCTGCCTTTTTGAGGTGGGCGGGGGGGGATGGGGTAGTGTGGAGCGATGTTTACTCGGCCATTTTTTTTTCTTTTTCTAGCGCTATATATATTTTCAGAGCATTTGTGAAGTGTGGGGTGTTGGTGATTGAGATTGACTGTTAGAGCCTTGAATAGAGAATTAATCCTGTCAAATGCTATCTGTTCAGTTTTCCTGCGGAATGCATTGATGACAAGTTACGCCATTCTCGGAGATCTGTAGGCTGTATGCATGGCCTGACGTGGCGGCCCGCGCACCTTGTATGAATTTGCTGGGATAAGCTTCAGGGCATCCTGTGATGATGACGGTAGGTTGAACGATATATACACGGCTTTATCAAGGTGCGGAGACGGCCACGTTGAATCCGGTAGAATGCTATCTGGCTTCGAGATTATACGCCCAAGTCTTTTTGGCGCTTATTGGAAGATAGCGTGGCTTTGTGGAACAAGCATTTTATTCGTCAGATTCGGACTGGTAAGCCTTGGTCGGGGTTGGATGTCAAGATATGTGAGTATTTTATTTCACCTTAAGTTAATCCCTAGGTGTGAGTTAGGTGTTTTTTTGCCATTAGCCCTTTTTTCTTTCCTTCCTCTTTCTTCCCTTTCCTTTCTTTTTTTTTCAAGAGAATTGCGAACTGTTCTTATGGATTGTATTTTTAAAATTTCAAGCAGAAAAATGCAATTAATTTATGTAAAATTTATTTGAATTATGATTTGCATTGATAAGCCAAGGGTTTGCTACAACATATACATGCTGACCGAAACCTTTGTGTGCTATGTTTTCCTTCGCACTAGATATTGCGCAAATTATAGATCGTTTATCACCAGGATTGTAATCAAAGATTAGGTGAAAGAGGCGTCACTTTCTGTGAATGACGTTGTTGGTATCAGCAGCTATAACGCAGCAAAGAATTAATTACTCTCACGCGATTTATAATGCCAACGCGCATTTGCTTGGTATATGGACCAAAATAGCTACAGTTTTTACAAAGGGATCAATGCGTAGAGCGTTATTGATCTTTTTTCTTATGTCCGAGATTTTTTTTATAATATATCACGTAGATAAGGTTTTTGATGCTTTTTTTTTCAGAATCTGACGAGGAGAAGATGTCGACTAATGGCTATGGTCATGGAATGACTCGTGCCGCCTCCCATGCAGGTACCGTATCCATTCTGGACCCTGAATTCATTTAGCTCCAAAATTTTGCTGTATAATCTGCTGCTTACCTCCTTTTTGTTCCGTTTTCTCGCAGGAATTGTGTTAATCGTGCAGAAAGCTTCAAAAAATTTGTTGGGTTTGCTGCTCACGTTTTCTGCATTGTGCTGAAAGTAGCTGTTTATAGGGTCGTGGTATTCCAGTAACCCAAAAGAACTGGATCGTCAAATCAGTCGATGGTTGGACGCTGCTGGCGATCGTGTGGGTGCAGCAAGAGCAATAGTTTCACCGTACGTCTTTTTTTTAGAATTATCAGTCAGGAACTTTGATAACTCATCATTTTATACGTCCTCAAGATAACACATGGTTTAATTCGATAAGGGAAGTGTTTTTCAAACGCATCTCCTTCAGAAACCGCCGGCGCTGAAGGATTTGTTAATATCACAGCGAAGGGAACTTGATTGAGATTGGCGTCGTATGAAATATTTAAGTTCCGGCTTCAGTAATGTTTCCTGAAAGGCAACTTGTTTAACAAATTGCGAGGGCTTTGATTCTGAACTTTGATTTCCAGCGAACTCCCGCACACATGGGCTTATTTCGCTATGCAACTGCTTGTGTCGCTCTGTATTTTTCTCTTTACATTCGAGAGTTTCCAATATCACTTTTCGACAGCTCACATTCAGCAGTTTACTTTATTCAACAACATCAAAAATTAATTTTTTCAGACATGCTGGTTATTCCTACTGTGGCGACACTGCTGCTCATGCTTTCAAACAGATTGTGCCTGAAAATGTGTACGCATTTTTTGTCATATCGATTTTAATCTGCGATTTCTTATTCTGTTGCACTTTAAGTCCTCATATAGTATATCCAATGTTTTCGATGTACTTGTTCTCAGAATGATTACAGATTCATACATTTTCAGCGACCGTGTTTTCGTGTTAGGACCATCTCACGTTGTTTGCCTGAATGGATGTGCTCTTACTACGTGTAGTAAATATCGTACACCACTTGGCGATTTACACATTGATATAGAAGGTTTGTCTCCAGCATTTCTAATCACTTCGAGAGTCTGCACCATGATCGAAATCGGTTTGCATTCATTTGCTTCTTTTTTACTGCGCCGTGGCACCTATCTAATTGTAAGCAAATCGTTGTTAATTCTCCGTTTATTTACTGCTTGTCTTTGATTGCCTTTCCCTTCCTGTAGTGAGGGGCCAGTCAGTATCTTACTGGCTATAACGGTTTCCTTTTCTCACTTCTGTATTCTTTACCCATCAGTTACCCTTTGTTTTACTGCCCCCCCCCAGGGGCCGTGAGGTGTGCTCCCCGAATAGGAGAGGGACCCCTCGCTGGTAAGGCCTGCATGTCAGTCACGGATATCTCCCCGATTGACATGCAATCGGATATCTCCCCGATTGCATGTCAATCGGGAAGATATCCCCGAGAACCGGTGGGCGTGGCCTTTTCCCGAGAGTTTTCGGGGAGAGCATACCTTACCTGGGAGGGGTCAGATTCCTGTTCGAGGAAGCATACCTTACGGCCAAAGATATCGTATGCTTCATATTCTAACTGCAACATCACATACTTTTGCGGACATTTGACAACATTTTCAGCCATGGCATGATCCTTTACTGCTGCTTGCCTCTTATCTTCAGTTGTCTTTAAAATTCTTCCAGTGACGCTGCCAACTTTTGCTGTGCAAAGACATCTCTATCCAGTCATTTTGAGCCCATTCCTCCATTCTTCAAGACATTTTATCATCTATCAAATTCTACTCACACTTTTCTAGAGCCTAAATGATACTTCCTCATTATCATAACTTGTTATTCTATGGAGGCCTAAGCATGCCATATAACCATGTGCTGCCGTCGTATTTGTTAGTTTTCATGATTCTCTGGATAAGCTCTCGATTTTCAGTTAACGATGAACTACGAGCTACACGTCAGTTTGATCTTATGGATAGAAGCGATGAAGAGGCAGAACATAGTATTGAGATGCAGATGCCGTTCATTGCCAAGGTTATGGAAGGGTTAGTTGCCACTTGAAATCAGTTAGAGCTTGGATTCCTTTTTTTCGTGTTGGAGTGTGCTTCAGTTCTTTGTTTCTTTTTTCCAACTCTACACACTTATCATTTTTTCACTATTTAATTCGATGTTCATTTCCTGACTAGTAAAAGTGGTTGTTTTTTTGGTATTCCATTCAGTTGAGGGTGCTCTTCGTCACCTTCGCCTCTTCCTAGTTGATTTTTTTGCTTGCTGTACCTCCATGTCGAGGGCAATGATAAAATGATGGGGCATTTCCTTTTCCGATCGTATAATGTGGATTTCGTTTTCATTTTACGTGCCTACGGAATTCTGGGAAAGCTTTCGTTATCATTCATTCCTCGTTAAAATTTAGCTTTATGTTTCGTATTGTTCTTCTTTAGCAATGAGCTTTTTGGATGAATACTCATTGCTTGTTTGTACTTTTCGCCCTTTTTTTCTCCCCCCCGCCGGCCCCAACCCATTGCCTACATTGCGGCTCCTCGAGGAGCCACAGCATAGGGATAATATAATATTTCTGCGCATGAATTCCAAAAGATTATTTGATGACATATTAATGTGAAAGGCATTGCAGTAGTTGTTGTGCAGTCATGCTCCTCGCATATCTTTCCTAATGGATATTTTACACAAGGGATATTTATAACTGATTTTTTCGAGAGAACTTTGTTTTTTTTCGATTGTATATGGCTGGCTTTTTGCTTGCAGTTAGTTTGCTGACCCCATTTACGGATTTCAGAATCGAAAATCAAAGTTTTGACCTCCGAAATCCACCCTGAGCCGTACGAAAAGATGTGCCTTCATTTTGAGAGTGATCGGCAGAATCAAGACGTGCAAAGTCTCAACTTTTGCTTTGAGATGCACCATTTTTGGCGCGAGTGGTTTGATGCGTTGTGACGCATTTTCCAAAAATATCAAAGAAGGCGCAGTCCCACGCGGTAGACATGCGAAAAATCGCATTGTCGCCAATGGGTTAAGGTGGCGCAGTGTTGTTGGCTCAATGTATACCCCTCCCATCACGCGCTTTTGCTATTTTAGCTGTATGGAAGATGTATTTCATTTTCGATCCTCAAGGAGTCTATATCGAGTATCATGAACATGAACAATTAGGCATTTTCGATGGAAAGAGCACATACCCATTGGGTTCTAGTTCAAGAGATTGTAATTGGGCTGAGAGTTGTGGGCCTATCTGACTCTCAGCCCAACTACAATTCCTTGAACTTGAAGCAGCTTTGTGAAAATGATCATCTCTGTTCCATTTCTTCGAATTCCGCGTTTCATTACGACTTTAACGTCTTTCTTTTCCTTTTCATGTGTCGTAATAGTTGACGCACGTAATACATTAGCGCGCTTTTTTCCCGTGATGTTGGCCGTCGCCTTAGCGATCGCCATATACGCAATATGTGGAGCGCACACGTTTTAGTGGTAGTATACGTGAATGTGCGTTGCATTTTCTCGCTATCCTGTTATAGTTGACCAGATCATGTTTTCGGAAAAAAAGAACGTCTGTTATTAATTTGAATGATGGATTACTTTCAGAAACCCAAATGTGACCGTAATACCGGTCCTAGTTGGCTCTTTAACGCCACCCAAACAACAAGCATACGGAAAAATATTCGCCAACTACTTGGAAAACCCACGTAACCTTTTCGTGATATCATCTGACTTCTGTCACTGGGGTTTGTCTTATAAATATAGTCGCTCTGTATACGAAATTTGTGTGTAAAACAATTTTAAGGTAATCGTTTCCATTTTGCACCTCATAATCCGAACAGTGGACTTGCCATATATGAGCAAATTACTCAACTTGATAGAGATGTGAGTTGACTATAAGCAGCTGTTGTTACGAATTATGTGTTTTTTCTTCTGTAATTGAATTTCACACACTTATTCCTCTCAGCGTAGTTTAGGGCATGGATGCCATAGAAACGTTGAATCCACAAATATTCAACGACTACCTTAAGCGAACTCAAAATACGATTTGCGGCAGGAATCCAATCACAGTCATGCTACAGGTGCGTTACAGAGAAGAGCGAAAGCTCGTTTCACTTAATATTTGCTCTTTTTTGAGATGATATCGATCGTATGCCTGAGTCAACGCAGCTCAGCCTGGTAAAGCGAATTGCTGTAATCATCGAAAAACGATTAGCAGGCAAAGTGGTTGCATTAGAGAAGAAAAGTAGACAAATGTTCAGCGATTTGTAGGCGGCTTCATTACCACATCACATTTAATTTTGTCGTTTTCTGGATAACCCACAAACCTTGAGGTCATGTTGCCTCAGAACAGTGAAAAAATATGGTCTTTTGTAATGGACAAAAGCTGATTGAATGGTTTTAGGCTATCTCTGCAGATGAAAGACGGTATTGAAAAACAAAGTGGTTAGTGATGTCCCATTCGCGCTCACTGGAACGAGCGTCACGAATGCTCAAGCTGCGTATAGCTAGAATGTGATGTAAGCCTGTTGAACATGAATCAGAGCTGAGTGGAACCTAGCAAGCGAGCTCAAGAGTAGTTTGATATGTTGAGGAATCTCTTTGTTCCTGCTTTTTACCCCATTCTGCCTTCCTGGCAAATTATCCACCACAGGAACTGTTCCTTTATCGCAGATCGCAGCTGTTGCGACGATTGCGTCATCGACCCTGGCTATAACAAACCTGCAATCAAGCATCAACGTCACTTCTTTCACTGCATTGAGGGCATCGTTATCATATGATGCTAGGAGATCAGCATCGCTCATGTGTGCCGATCGGCGTTAAAATTAGGCTGGTGTCAGAGTCCGCGATCTGTCGCAGGTTTCGCTGATCGCGCGTTCGCGATTTGCGCGATTTTCGCGATTTGCGCGAAACCTGCGACGGATCGCAAAAATTGCAAGTGCCCCATTTGAACATTTGAAACACTGAATATGAAACAAGTGGAATCATGAGCAGTCGTCATTCAGCCATCACTATCAAGCAGAAGTGGCGGCAGGATTGGAGAACACCTTGCAGTATTGATCGGGCACTTGTGATTTCCGTGACCCGTCGCGCAAATCGCGAAAATCAGCGAAACCTGCGACGGATCGCGGACTCTGACACCAGCCTTATGGTTAGTGGTGACCATTGGGGCTAAGCTGATGTGCAGCATTGGAATCGCTGAACTATCCAAGACAGCTCAGATAGAAGAGGTTTCTGCGAAGTCGACATGTTTTACAAGGTGCCGAAAGTGCAACACGCTTGTAGTTGTAAAGAGATTCTCGACAGTGTGGCGCATTCTTTCTTATTGCCAGACCATCAATAATGATTTGTGGTGGGGTTATTTTTAGCCCTAACTGCAGTTACGGAGACTGTGTAACCCATAGTAACCTTGACGGGCTTTTAGTAATATTTCTTGTTACAATTTCTTCTTAGTATTTCTATTTCAGGCTGCGGAACACTTTAGGATGATGAACAATCATACTCACGAGTTCCGTTTTCTGAAGTACTCTCAGTCAAACAAGGTTTGTTCGCGTGTTTTCAAGTTGGTGATGTTTCTGCAATTCAGTATTTGTTCATTACAGTTGCAATATTTTTTTTTCGTAGTCCTTTCTTGTTTAACGCAGGATAAGAACAAAAATATAGGCAGTGATTGTTTTTTTTTCAATATTAGTGTTTTTGTTTGCATAAATGGAGTAGAGTTTGATCACTTCATCTACCTATACTCCATATTTCGAAGTCAGATTAGGGCGTGTCTCTGGGTTTGGCGTGGCGGCCGCACTTGATGGAAGTTGCGCTGCTATAGCAAAGCTGCTTCCAGCATGCTTTGCTGATATCCAACGGAGTATGTTAGAAACAGCCTATCACACGGCTTCTATCAAGTGCGGCAACGGCCACGTCAAATCCATAGCCACGCCTAATCTGACTTCGAGATATCGACTGTAGTTACCCTCCCTTCAAAAAGCGAGAAAGTGTCGTGCAGACCATGCACCACAAGTGACGACGGCCTTCACAAAATGTTAATGTTTTCTGCCAATGAAATGATTAGCCTGTTGCAGTTGTATTCTATCAGTTGTCACTAATTACAACTATCATTTACCAGAAATCAGCTATCACTATGAACAACTTCTAACCAGATTTACTTGGAGGCCGTCGTCAGTTGTGGTGTTTGGTCTGCACCCGACACTTTCTCGCTTTTTGAAGGGGAGGTTACACATTGGCGACAGCTCGTTGCGCGCGAAGCCAGCTTTTTTTCGGAATCATTCCATCAATGATTACATTAAGAGTAACTGGTGCAATGTTTTCCGAATAAGATAATCTCTACAAACATCTGGAATATGAAAATTGTCGAGTCATTCCAACAGAACGAGCCTGACGCATGTGAAAATCTGACGCGTATGTGCGTCATGCTGTCGCCAATATGTTAAGTAGAGGTAGACTACAGGAATAAGTGGCGCACATATCCATACGCCGTGTTCACAGAACCATATACATTTTTTTTTCGGCTCCGCCCCTTGTAATCAGTGGTTGCCATCTGAGCTTCCACTTCACAGCCGGGCTGCGCTCGATATTGATTTTTTGCGAGGCTTTGACAAATAATATCTGGAAAGCTATTGAAATCTATCTGGAGGGATTCTTAGAACACAGCACAACACCTGACGAACTGAGCGCAAGAAAAACGTCCACAGTTGATTGCCTTCTCTTTTGAAATAATTCCACACCATTGAATCGTGGAGGTTTTGTTGGTTGTGCATAAGATGAAATCTTCTCCATAATCATGTGACAAGAAAGAGCTTTCGAACTGAAGATCGATCAGAGAATGAGA